TTCTAGGGAAAAAAACCCATATTTCAAATAACTGAGCACATCTTTATCATCATCCTAATCTTTAGGTTTAAATGTGGATCTTATTTGACAATAACTTTAGAGCTCATTTTAGTTTAACTAAGTCAAGAAACTAAGGCCTACAGAGGAGGATGAACTTATCTAAGGCAGTTAATTAGTTGTAGAACACAAGTCTCTTGACACCTGCTTCAGAATTCTTTCCACTGTACTAATTAACAGTACAGTTACACCAACTTTAAAAAAATGAAAGCAAGTAATGAACATGAGTAAATTCCAGATGAACCTAGTTTTACACTGCTGATGGATTCTTTTAAGAGGTGTAGGTAAATTATATTTGGGGGAGAAAAACTGCATTTTTTAAGGCAACATGGGAGCTTATTTACAAAATGCCACCTTTGAAGTCTTTGAGAGGCAAAAAAGTTAATACTTTATACGTTTAAGGCTAAGAATTTTAAAGCTAATTTTTATAATGTTACAGTATAAATTGTATTTCACTTTAATACTTCACCTTTTAAGGCAGGGAATTCAATTCACTGAGCTTTTTTTTAATGTGTATTTATTTTTGAGATAGTAGAGAGCATGCAAGTGTGTGCACAGGGGAGGGGCAAAGAGAGGGGGACAGAGGATCCAAAGCGGGGTCTGTGCTGACAGCAGAGAGCCCTATGCAGGGCTCAAACTCACGAACCATGAGATCATGACCTGAGCTGAAGCCGGATGCTTGACCAACTGAGCCACCCAGGTGCCCCTTTGTATGATTAGAAATTTACTAAGATCTATGAATGATCCTAAAGAAGTCCCAGATACTAGAAATTACAATGAGTATTTATGCATGTGTGGTACTAGGAAATAATCCTCATTAAGAAATAAAAGCAGTTTCAATTACTTATTTTTTATTACCATTTCTTTTTTTTTAATGTTTTTTTTTTTTTTTAATTTTTTTTTTTCAACGTTTATTTATTTTTGGGACAGAGAGAGACAGAGCATGAACGGGGGAGGGGCAGAGAGAGAGGGAGACACAGAATCGGAAGCTGGCTCCAGGCTCTGAGCCATCAGCCCAGAGCCTGACGCGGGGCTCGAACTCACGGACCGCGAGATCGTGACCTGGCTGAAGTCGGACGCCCAACCGACTGCGCCACCCAGGCGCCCCTATGTTATTTTTTAATGTTTATTCATTTTTGAAAGACAGAGAGAGACACAGCACAAGCAGGGGTGGGGCACAGAGGGGGACACAGAATCCAAAGCAGGCTCCAGGATCTGAGCTGTCAGCACAGAGCCTGATATGGGGCACAAACCCATGAACCGTGAGATCATGACCTGAGCCAAAGTCAGATGTTTAACGGACTGAGCCACCCAGGTGCCCCTACCATTATTTCTTAAGTAAACTCTGTGCCCAACATGGAGCGCAAACTCATGGCTCGGAGATGAAGAGTTGCATGTTCTACCCACTAAGCCAGCCAGGCACCTCGCAATTTTAATTACTTTAAATATAGAGATGCACAGTGAAAAAGTCCTTTTGGGTTAGATACATCAAATTTTGTTTAATGCACAGGAAGAGTAACTATCATTTGAGGATGCCATAAGGACATTTTTTAGTTCCCAAATATCTCTTCCAGTATGAAGCATGCCACCCATTTCTTCCTTTAAGAGTTGTTTTCTCTTTTGTGTGAAAGGGTTTGGAGTACAATAGAAAGGGAGTCTGGCCGTGTTCAAGACTTTGTTTGCTTTGCTTTTATTTAAGAAAGGCAAAGTCTGAAGAGTATGTAGGGTTTAAACATCCAAGGAGGGGCGCCTGGGTGGCGCAGTTGGTTAAGCGTCCGACTTCAGCCAGGTCACGATTCACGGGTCCCACAGTTGGAAGCCCGCTGCTCTGGCCTGCCTGATGGCTCAGAGCCTGGAGCCTGTTTCCGGATTCTTGTGTCTCCCCTCTCTCTGCCCCTCCCCCGTTCATGCTCTGTCTCTCTCTGTCCCAAAAATAAATAAACGTTGGAAAAAAAAAAAAATTTTTTTTAAAAAAAAACATCCAAGGAAAAAAACATCTTCTGTCTTAGGATTCAGCCATGGTACCTACAGTAGGTTAGGGTAACACAGAAGTTGCTGTCTGGAACTAGATTTGCCTATCATCCAGCAGGTCCCAGGCCCACCTTCAGGTGCTAACAGTCTACTCTCACTAGCCACACACACTATCCCTAGGTTAGTCCTGATACGTTACAGAACAGATAAGAAGTTGGCATCAAGAATCAAGTTGGGATAGTGGTAGCATTAAAGTGGTCTATTACGAGACAGCAGGGTCCCAGTCAAAGGACCTGGGTTTAATGCCAGAATCTAGACTCTCAGAGGAGGAAGTTACAGGTAAAGAAAGATATCTCAAAGGGTGCCTGGGTGGCTCAGTTGGTTAAGCATCCAACTCTTGATTTTGGTTCAGATCATGATTTCATGGGATCATGAGTTCGGGCCCCACAACAGGCTCTGCATGGACACTGCTGAGCCTGCTTGGGATACTCTCTCTCCCTCTTTCTCTCTCTTAAAATAAAGACTTAAAAAAAAAAAAAAGAAAAAAAAAAAGGACTATCTCAAGAGAATGATACTCTGAACAAAGAACTTAATCAAGGGCTCAGGTTCAGTGATCACAAGAGTCCAGTTACAGACTTGAGGTATCAGCCAGACATGGACATTATGGCATTATATACACTTCTCAAATTAGCGTAGATTTAATTCTAGGATTAGTTGACAAAAAAACCTGCATATATGAGAAATTATGATGAATCTTTTTGGAAAATTAATTTTCCCTGATGGCAATTTACTCCCTATTTTTACATAGTTTTATATTAAGCAGTCATACATTGAAGTAGAAAGCTAATTTTTGATTAATCTAGAGAAGAAAACACAGGATTTTAAAGAATGTCCACATTTTAGTAGGGAGTTTTAGCTATACTCCCAAGTCACTGTTTGATGCTCTTAAGAAAAGTCTGAAAGGCAGTGGACCACAAAAAGTACCATCTATGGAAAAGACCTGCTATATTTTATTTGTTTTTTAAAGTAAGCTCTACACCCAATGTGGGGCTTGAACTTATGACTCCGAGATTGAGAGTCTCATGCTCTACTGACTTAGCCAACCAGGCACCCCAACCATCTGTTTAAATTACATCTTTATTGTGTAACCTTGGACAAATTAAAAACTCACTTAATCCCATAAGATTGCTGTAAAGATTGTTAACATACAAGCATCTAGTAAGATAAAATAGGTGCTTAATATTATCTGACAAAACCTGGGCTAGACATACTTAATCTTGCTGCCTTAGGTTAGGTAAGGTCCTACGGACTAGAAGGCTATTGAGTTGTCAGAGAATAAAAACCTAGACTAGAAGTGAGTGTGGAGGGGCGCCTGAGTGGCTCAGGTGGTTAAGTGTCTGACTCTTAATTTCAGCTCAGGTCATGATCTCACAATTCATGAGTTTGAGCCCCGCTTCATGATCTGTGCTGACAGCAAAGAGCCTACTTGGGATTCTGTCTCCCTCTCTCTCTCAAAAATAATCAAACATTTAAAAAAATAAATACAAGTGAGGGTGGAAGTGAAGTTTAAATGGGACATGGTTGGATATGACAGAGAACTAATATATGCTGTACACCTATTCCTATCATCTACTGTTAGGAATTTTAGATACATACTCATTTGATCTTATTAACAACCCTCAAATAAGGTGTACTTTTACACATGAGAAAACTGTGGTGTGGGAAGGCTCAAACTGCCCAATATTAAATAGCTAATTAAGCAGTGGAGCAAGTCCTCCAACCTAGTCATGCTACCACATTCTGCCTTAGTGAGGGGAGGTACTTCTACTCCCCAAAATGTGAACTCAGTTTGAGTAAGTGAGATTAAATAAAATAATGGCTACCCATATAACAGGAACACAAAATATTTAACACTGAGCTGGTGACCTGTACATGTGAGGTGATATGGGAAGAGAGCCTATGGAAAGTCAGAACTCTTTCAAAGAATTCTAAAAATAAATTGATAGGGTGTTTCAAGTCTAATCATTAGTAAGTGATTAGTAAAACCTCATTAGTCTACAGTATATGGAATTTACAATACTCTATATAGGAACCGAGAAACAATAAAAATATCTGAAAGCATTCCTCATTCTTCCTCCCCTCTCCAATATTTCAGCTTGGATAAAAGCTGTGACATCATTTAGTGACTTCTGCCTCATGAATTCTGGGTAACAGAATAATTAAGCCAAAAACACAAAGGGTAACTAACATTCAGTACACATGCAGATATACAAATATGAGCCACCATACCCTATTCCGTTTTTTGTTGATTCACCTTCACAACATTTTCCTTTACTGAGAATTTTACTTTAGTAAGGCCTTTTGCTGGGTAACAGAGACAGTGCTGAATAAGACCTTACAGGAGCTCAGTCCAGTAACAATGGGAATCACGAGGCCACCAAGTAGTTCCCAGTTGAGACAGACACAAAAACCAGGACCAAAAGAGAAAGATAACAGAGAATCAAAGTACCAAAGAGAAGTTAAGTCAAAGTATTGAAAAGCAAGTAAGAGTTTGTCAGGAAGCAAGGGGAAGGAATATTTTTTGAGACCTGAAAGCATGAAACAGTGTGATGTGTTTAGGGAACGGCAAGAAGTTCCATGTGACTGGAGGGCTGCATGGTAGGCAGGACCAGAAAGATTCCTAGTGATTAGATCCTAAAGAGATAAATTATGCTAAGAAACTGGGATTTTATCTTGTGGATCAACATCTTCCACAGTTAGGACCATGAAACTCTTTGAAATTACAATGTGAAGAAGAAATACCAACAATAAATACACACTGAAAGCTTCTGATTCTTTAGCTTTCCTAAAATCTAAAGTATAAAAAATATGAATCATTTTATTTAAAACCCCAAAATACCAGAGATGAAGTAAATCATCTTTTATTTTCATCTTATACTTGGTTATCAAGAGACATGCAAAACCCTCTAATTTTAATGAGAACAGTGTTTTTGTGTCTTTTTATCACATATCCGCTTAATATTAGGTGTAATGTTGCTAAGTCGAATACGCATATGAGGTGCGGCATCAAGTCTTTTCCTGTATTTCGTTTTTGTTGCAGCATAGTATGAAAATCCTGTTTCACACAGGTGCATTGTAGCAAAAGGAAGAAGTACACGAACTGCACGCCTTGCAATGCTTGGGTACTCTTGAATTAGGCTACTCCAAAAATCATTTAGTGAAAGTTCGCTGAAATTTTGTTTCACTTGAGAATCAGATGTTAAATCAATCAGGCTCTCATAGTCCCGTGCTACTAATGAAGCTGGTTTAACAGTTACTGTAAATGGATTTCTAACCCAAGTGTTACTGTCATTTGTTACAGGAAAATATTTTAACAGAGTAGAGCGCAAACCCCTTAGGTGCTGCACAATGGCACTACAAATATCTTTATCAACTGTAGAATTAATTTCAGTCAAAAAGTCACTGAGAGTAGGAAAACAATCAAAGTTTTCTTCTTCTACGGATGAAGCCCAAAATTCCAATTTTCTTAGCAATGATGACATTTTATCAAATACTGTAAAAACTGTCACATTTTTTCCTTGCATTGATAGATTTACCTCATTTAATTTAGTAAAAATATCTGCAAGATATGCAAGTCTTAGCAGCCAAGATGAATTTGTTAAACAATCAGACAGTCGAAAAGCAGAATCCATGAAAACCAATAGTTCACGACGGAGCTCAAAAAGTCTTACAAGAACTTTACCTCGGGAAAGCCACCTCACCTCTGTATTCAGAAGAAGTGCTGTGTGCTGGGCACCCATTTCCTCACATAAAATTTTTAGTAGCCTAGATTGATGTGGTCGAGCTTTAATGTAATTGATGATCTGTACTGCCTGATCTAGCACATTTTTCAGAGATGTAGGCATTATTTTAACTGCTAGTGCATGTCTATATAATAGGCAGTGACTACTGGTGCTTTCGGGAGCCACATATTTTATCAAGGTGACAGCCTCAGCAATTTTCCCGTCCATTGCCCTAGAGGCATCACTACAAACATCAACACATTTTTCCCATTCAATTTCATGTTTCTGCATAAAACTGTTGATGCAGTTGAAAATTTCTTCACCAGTAGCATTACTTTGCAAAGATTCACATAAGAGTAGGTCTTCCTCAATAGATTTATTAAACCTGTAACGAACAAAAACAAGCAGCACAGCAAGTCCTGAAACATCAGCTGATTCATCTAGTTGCAGTGAAAACCCATCACAAATTTTCAGTCTACAAACAAGCTCTTCTTCAATGTCAGCAGCAAGATCTTTAATTCGACGTGCAACAGTACTATTTGATAGTTGTACTGCATCTATTTTTTTACTATATTGTTCATCAAACATCCGCATCACGACATCTTTAGCACAAGGCTTGATGAGTAATTCTCCAATAGTATGAGCCTCTCCACTCAGGGCTATATGGTAACTTACATTGTATGATGCCTCTGTAGCACTTTCATTATCTGTATTGACAATTTTAGGTGTTGGGGGTTTATTATTTTCAGGTGAATCAAGATGTTGCTTGAAAAAGCTTATGTCTTTGTCTTTATATGCAGCGTGTTTAGTTTCCAAATGTCTTCGAAGCTTACTAGGGGCCAAAGAACTATTTGATAAAATTTTCTTACATAACACACACTGAGCATGAGGTGCATCTCTATTTCCAAAGTAAGTAAATCCAAAAGACAAGTAACTTTCATCATATTTTCTTCTTTTTGGTTTCTTACTAAATGTTGTTATTTTGTTGGAATTGGATATAAATTTGACCCTGGAAAGCTCACCTTCTGATTTTTTAGAAACTGAAGGCTGCAATTGTTCATCCTCACTTTGTAATATTCCAACCTTTTGATCATTTGATTCAGACACAATTTGATAACAAAAAGATTCTACTTCTTGTTTAAGACTTCCTTGTTTCAGCAAGAGATCCATAGGTAACGTGTTTGTGGCACAAAACATGGTTAATTTAGAATAAACATTGAGTATCACAAATATGTTGAAATTATATGACAGGATACATAGAAGATGAGCAATCATCAAAGAGATGATACAGAGCAATACATCAGTTAATTTGTAAATGCTGCCTATGCATCAACGCGCAGATGGAACATCACACGTTCGTGTATCAGGTGATCTCTCATGCGACTTCCTGGTGCTCTCAGGTTTGGCACACCTTTTCTTAAAGGTAGATTATCACATAAAAATAAAGCTATAGAAATGAGTTTAGTATTCTTAAACTTATATTTTAAAATAAACTATAAAGAAAAATTGTTAGCATTGATCTTTTTCTCAGAACACTTATTAACTTAGAGAATATTAATGTTCTATAAAATATAATGTGGGAACCAGTGGGCTGAGAAATAATGAAGAGCTGATAAGTGTGTTTTTAAGGAAGGGACCTTGAAGAATATGTCCCATGGCAGGGGTTGGCAAACTTTTTCTGTAAAGAGCAATCTAGTAAATATTTTTGACTTTACAGGTCATATAGTCTCTGTTTCAACTACTCAACTCTATAGTTGCAGCATGGCAGCAGACACAGACAATACTAACAGAACGGATATGGCTGCGTTCCAATAAACCTCTATTACAAAAACAGACAGCTTGGGCCATAATTTACCAACCCCTTCTCATGGCAAATAGTGTCTTGGAATCCCTTTTAACTTTCTGATGCCTACTGCCATTACATATTTTCACTGTTGGATACTATTATACATATGAAGCCTCCTTACCAGGGCTAGCAACAATTGTGATGAGCTGTATTAAAAATACACACAGTTCAAAGTTTTGCAAAACACAGAATTCTGTATCCTAAATACTGTGCTAACAATGAAAAATAAACTAATGACCAAAAGTTACCTACTATTTCTCTGGAATCAAAATCACATAAATATTTATATTATCCAAATTAAGACCCATTCAAAGTAATGTACATTTTACTGAGTACTCTGCATTCCATTATGCTATAGGTGAAGATTTAACCACGACCTAAACAAAACATAAACTCTGATTTTAATAGGTTTATTCCTCATATAATTTTTAAAAGCATAATTAGAAGGGAGAGTAATGCAAACTTTAAGACCTCTGAAGAAGACTACTAACTTTGCAAGTTAAGGAAAACATATTCAGTGTCTATCCAAATATATCTGCTTTTGATTTAAACTTCATGATTTGGCTACAGAGTAAGCTTTGAATTCTTATGTTACATCCTAAAGCAAAAATGGTTCTCCTATTAACAGCTAGATGGTAAGATACCTGAAATGAGTAGTACTCCCTTCTGCAATCACACTCTCCACCTTGGCAGCTTGAAATGCAGACTCTTCAAAAGAATAAAATTAAGGGATGGGGTGGAAAGGGAGTAACCAAAAGCCTAGAATGAGAAAAATTAAAATTAGACACTGCAAAAGCAGAACTAACTACAAACCTCTAAGATGACCGTTCATTACAATTTATTTTAGACCCAGGCAGTGCAAGAGATTCTTCACTGCAATGCAGTGAACTGAAATAGAAGATGGCTAGCATAGTAAAAATGCTAGTATCTTTGTTTCATTTAATGCCCTCGTTATTTCATCGTTTTGAGACAGTCTCCCAACCACTGACTTCATAGAAACACATGTAAAAAACTTTCAAAAACTAAACCTAACTTTTAAAAGTACAGCCACATTTTAATGTCTCTAAAACTAAACATGAAAAGTTATCTAAAATAGAATCATACAGGGAAGTGTTATTTGAAACATGCATTTTTGCTATAACCACTTTTGTCCCCTAACCAAGCTCCTAACTTAGGTTATTAACGTTTAGTGAGTGATCATTTTTTATTATGCTTGAAACTGCTAGATCCCTCATACAGATTATTTAATCCTCAAAACAAACTTGAGAGTCAGGGACTATCAACAACCCCACTTTAGAGATGAACCAACAGACACAGAGAAGTTAAGTCATCTGCTAACTTAACACATCTTGCAAGTGAAGAACTAAGAGCAGAACCCAAAAGGTTGGGACTGCAGAGCTCATGAGCCTAACTATTCCTTGTGTGTACCTTGTATTCTAATTTCCCAAGCACTAACCGGCAACAGAGGGAAATGGATTACAATGGATTACGACTGCCAGAAAGTCGAGGGTCTCAAAGTGCAGCAACAGAAAACCCTACTCTTATCATTGGGAGCAAAAGAGCAATAGATTCTCGTTTCTACAATCCCGATTTGAAGTTAGCAACAGAGAACTTCGTGGAGCTGCTGGTTAGGATTAGGATCCCTCTCTCTTGGTACCAGAGGACACAACGGAGTAGGAAGCTTTGTTTTCCTAAGTAAGGCCTCAACCCCACCTCTTTTAGAGGTGCTTCCCGAATCTCTCGAGGACAAAGAGTCTGGACTCCCTAGAGAGTAAAGTTTCTATTCCATTCCCCGAAAAGGCTGGCAGGGCGGGGGCGGGTGAGAAACCCGGTTTTTTTGTCTCTTCTGAGTTAACTGACAGGTAATACCATCCATTCACCAACCAACCCCCCCTCCCCCGCCTCAGGCGGTTCCAGCTGTGAACAATACCCTCAGGGGCAGGAGGGCCAGGTTAAGAGCGCAGTCCACTCAGAAAGCCTGGGCAAAGGTGGGTGCGGTCACCCCTTCCTGCACCTACATGCTCCTTTAAGCGGCCACTTCGATGTGCTGCCCAGGCCAGCTATCCCTCCTTGTCACAGGTGCAGGCTGCCAGCAGACCGCCACATCTGGGGACTCGCCCACCCTCGCCTCCAGAACTCTTCTCTCGAGTCCCCGGGAAGTCTCCTCAGCACCCAACACTGTCTCTCTACGTCACCTCCATCAGTGATGGAGACCGGTCTTCGCTGCGGCTGGGCTGCAGAGCAGCGCCGCGGTCCCCAGCTGAGCCTGCGGCCGCCATTTTACACAGCTCAAGGCAGCGGCCATTTCAGAGCGCACCGCTCAGCCGCCGTGGCGGCTCTGGTCCTCACCTTCACCGAGGCCTGAACGGGGTCAAGAGCCAGTCGTCGCGGACTGGAAGGGGGAGGAAGGGAGGAAGGAATGAAAAACAAAACAGAGGGAAGGATTCGGGGACAGGGAGATGCTCTCAGCTCAGGGATATCGCCTATGCCACCTCCATAGAGATCCAGTTCGCGGCTGGCGCGGTCGCTCCTCTGAAGATAAATTTAGCACTCTGGAGCACCCGAACTTACAGTCTCCACGAGCGGCTCCGCCGCCGCCCAATCAGCTCCAGAGCTGCTCCCCGCCACCAATCTGCGCTGAGCAGCAGGGCGGGACCAAAGGAAAGGACCAAGCTCGGTTGAGGCGCAACCCAGCTGCTGCCGCCGCCGCGTTGGACCGGGGCGATGGGAAGCTTCGGCTGGTGCTAGACGTGAAACGATTGTTTTAAAACTTTCCTGGGCTCCAGATAGTCCGGGGGCTTGTTTAGAATGCAGGTTCCTGGGTGCTGCCTGACAAAGTCGGTGGTTCTGTGGGGCTGCACATGACTCTTGGAATCTGCATGCTCCCAAGCACTGGCGTGGTGCCCAGGCGGCGGTGATTTGTGTAGTTTCGCAGTTACCCCAAGGAGCGCGCAGAGCCTGGCTGCGGCTGCTTTCACGACTTCTTTGTTCCCCGAGCCGCACCCCAGGCTCAGGTTACGCAACCGCCTCCTCTTTCTCTTGTTTTCCCAAAGGAGTGGGGGCACAACACCCCTTCCTTTCCTCGCCCCTCCCGACGCTGCTGTGCCAGGGGCTCGTGGGGGCTCGTCCGGGAGCTGAGCCTCCCGCTAGAGGTCTCGAGTGACCCCAGACGCGGTGCGGGCCGCCGTGTAGGGATAGCGGCCTCTCCGCTGTGTCACAGGAAGAGTCCGCTCGCTCCGTCTTGGCACCTCTCACAAGTGGCACCCTCCCCGAGGGGAACACCCGGCCGCCTGCACCGGCAGGCCGGCCCTCTGGAATACTCCGTTGGCTAGCTGCCGCTTTCGGGTGCTTTAAGCGTGGTTCTCTCCCACGCCCCTCCCGCCTATTAAAAACAGCCCAGCAGAGGGTACCGGCTGGGTATTTCCCCTTTGGCGATCCGTCGCGGAGACCAGGAGTCGGTTTTTCCAAACTGTTTCCTTAAAATATATACACGTCTAGGGATAATTTGTTAAAGTACCAGTAGTACTAAACAGTAGGTCCCATTGTGTGTAATATTTCAGCCTTTCGAGGTCCCGTGGAAATAGCTAAATGTACGCTGGATAGTGTTTTCAGGCACTGCACCAATGACAAAATTCCCATCTTGTGGTCAAAAACAAGGGCAGCTTCTGTTTTTCTTAAAAATGCTTCCTACATATGTGAACAGATCTCTTAGGTGTAGAAAGAAGCCTACCCTGCCGGTAGCCAAGATATCCAACCAGCCTGATGGGGCAGGGCCCGGGTGGTGGACGGATTGGGACTGCATGGTGGCCCACTGACAGTGAAGCTTCTTGTACTCCTGCTTTTATGTAATGTGGCCTTAGCGGTGGTCAGGGCAGCTCCCCTACCAATGAAAGTACCTGGGGATTTGTCGGTTGGGGAATTGCTCCTGACAGACACCCCCCGCCCCCAGGAAAAGAACCACTGGGGAAAGAAAGAAGATTCCGCAGGGAAATTATGCAGCCCTACGTCCAGCTCTTGCCACTCTCCTCTACCTAAAGGAAGGATAGCTCCATATATTTCCCAGCCAAGGAGGGGGACAAATGGGTTCAAAGTCCCCACTCAGCAACAAAGGAATGTATCTATGGATACAAGTTACTCCAACCCCTAGGCCCACTTGGCCACCAGGAGGCATTCCAGATGATAACTGGACCTGGTGGGTTAAGGTACAGAATGGTTCATTAATTCCTAGGTATACATGTCTCTCTGGGAGCGCATAAGGCGTGGGTTCCCAGCGCCCTCTTGGCTCCCTCCCGGCACCCCAGACCAAAGTGAATACTTTTGTTCCTTGTACCGCAAATGGTTCAAAGGAACAATTAAGAAGTCATGTTCTTCTAAACATTCCACTTGAGGTGTTGAGAGCTAGATGACCTTGAAAGGGCAGGAGGGAATGTTACAAGAAAATAACTATGTTGTTCCTTAATGGGTGATTATACAAAGAAACATTTTTAGAATTAGGTAATGCTGAGAAACGTAGATAACACACGCTACA